AGACCAAGACAAAATATACACAATATAAAAATAAATAGCATTCCCCTTTCCAGTATTGACCAGGAAAGTTCACACAACTTTGCAGCAGCAGGAGAGAGAAGAGGATCCCTGACACTGTGCTCTACGGGACAGGGAGGGAGGCAGGGGTGAGAGCTGGGGCTCCTGGGCAGCAGGTGATGGGGATGCAGCACCCGAGCCCCTACTGGGAGAGAAGTGCTGGGGAAAGCAACATCAGCATGAACTCCTCCTTGCACTGAGAAATTTAGGCTATCGAATCCAACCTTGTCTAAACAGCATGGGCAGCCAGCCAGCTCAGTTTCTAACTGAGATGAAGACGAGCAGGACCAGCCCTTGAGCAAAACACCCCAGCACAGAGCCCCATGCAGGTCAGATTCCCCCCACTAAGGGACACATGCAGGGATCATTTTCACAGCTTGGTGTGGGAGGTCTCTGCCACAGCATCAGCTCACTCCCCCGTTGCCCCGGGACAGTTACAAGCAGTGGACAAGGGCCAGACTTTTGCGCCCATGGCTGCCAACCCCCTCCCTGCCCAACAACAAACAACACAGCAACATAAGAGCAGCCTCACCCAAAACGAGAAAGGCCCCCGTTTTCTCCTTGTGCCCTGACAGACAGATTACATTCTTTACAAACTTACAATAATACAAAAAAACCCCAACTGTGTCACCCAACTTCAGAAAAATGGATGTAGTGGCATAGGTTCTCCTGCCACCTCCCCCATCAATGCTAAGTGAAGCAGCAGCAGGATGCTCTCCTCCCCCTCAAAGGCATTAAATCAGTGGTGAACCCACCCCTTGCTCCAGGGCAGCAACAGGCACCTTTTCCATGTGTTCTGCTTCATGGAAGAGGTTCTTTACCAACTTGCTCCCTTCCCTTTTTACCTTCCCAAACAGAAGCAGCAACCAGCTCTCTCCTGGCTATCTAAATCAACACAACGGTCACTGGGAAAGCAGGAACATGGTGTAGATAAGATGCAGGGCTGCAGAAAGCACCTTACATGCTGTGAAGCCCCCCAGCATGTTTCATAGCCATCTGCTCCCTGAAACAATATGGGAAGGTCAAAGCTGCACTGCTGCACATTATTATTGCTCAGAAAAAATGAGGCAGTGGTGTTCAGTGATCTATCAAGGAAGAGAGGCAACTGTTTTCATGGTTGTACACGGTATATATTTTTAACCTAAGCCCTCTTGGAGGTAGACATGCCAGGATCACATGCAGGAATCCTGCGCCAGGGCCAGGAGCAAATCCTTGTGCTGGCAGAGGGACAGACATTGCTGTGCCAGGGTGGCAAACCCTGGGGGCACACAAGAGAACACTAGTGAGCCACCGAGGACAACTTAATTTCATAAGGAGAGTAAATGTGTACTCCCCACCTGCTTTCTATATGCATGTGCAGAGGAGGCAGATGGGAAGTTCAATCTTCTGCCCTTCTACTTGCGTGGGCAGTGAGCTTTCATCTCTGCACTTGACAGCAACTGACTGCTGCAAAGTGAGCAGAGGGAAAGAAACTTGAAAGCTAGGAAGCAAGGAGAGGGGAAGTGTTGGCGTATGACACAAGGGGATCAGAGGACTTTCAAGACTTAAAGTTGAGGCCTGAGATCCTGTAGCTGCCCGGCTGGCTTCAGAAAGGGAGCTCACTCTTCTGATGTACTCCAGAGCGTTTGAGTGCACTAGGTGTCTACTTGCCTCCTACCCATTTGAAGGCCAAAGGAGTCCCTCCCAGTCCCTAATGGCCATCTGGTCTAACCTTGTCCGCAACAAGGGAATTTTGCCCACATAGAGTCAGTTCTACTTTTATTTAGAAGATATTCCAGTTACTGCCCTTCTGCTAGTAAGCCAAATGCTTCTAAATAAAAGGGGCAAAGGACAGAGGGACTTGCTAGAGTTAGTGAAAATCCCAATCAATCCTCAGCCCTAATTAATCCTTCATCCCCTCTTCCACTGGTGGATGTGGCTCTTGCTCTTTCCTGGCTGCACTGTCCATTTTTGACACCCATGTTTCAAAAAGAGGAAGACCTTTGCCTAAAGAAATCTCGGCCACTGCTGCAGTTTAAGGAAAAAAAAAAACCTCAGTTGATGCAAGGCCAGCAGTGTTAAAACTACAAAATGCTCCATGGTCTCTCAAAATACTGCATGTGAGCCAAGGCAGGAGAGTAATCAAAAAGGGAACAGCACCACACAGCTTGCTACACCTGTGCTTCAAAGGTACACTTGGATGTTACTATGTAGTTTCAAATACATACAACCCTGTCCTGAATTCCCTTGACTAAGGGTGGACTGAGCCTTGCTCTTGTCATCCCAGGAGCTCCGGAGACAGCTGGAAATGGGTCCTTCCCCAGCTTTTTCAGAGAGGGAGGTGGGCAGCAGAGAGTGAAAACCAGAGCGCATTGTTCATTATGTGCTGGTTAAAAGCATTTTCCTTCCGCATGGGCGGCAGGGGTCCTGCCAAGCCCAAATGTGCTTTACCTCCATCTGTATGTTAAACAGGTACAGATGGGGAAAGGCTGGAAGGTCAACGTTTGAGATGCTTTCTCAGTTACAATAAGCACATGCTCTTAAAGCCTGTCACATGGCCTGCAGCTGCCATGCTACTTTCATAGCCTGCTATCTCAATCTTGGCCTTACAGAAAGGATATGGTACTCACACACCTGCTCTTCAACCACCAGCACCAGACTTAAAACGAAACAGGAATTCTGCAAGAGCAAACTCTCCACCAATGCACCGCAGTAAAAACTTTTTAAGGGGTTGCTCTGATTAAGCGCAGACCCAGTGGCACAGTTGCTTTGCAGTGATGGGAACCAGGAGCAACCACACCATCAAAAACTCCTATTTGACCACACCATCACAAACTCCTGTTTGTCTTCTCCAAGCCACTCCTTGGAATGGCACTTCCCTGTCACTCAGTTTGGAACCTTCTCCAAAATTCCACAATGCATATGGCAACACCATCTCCTCAGAAAAAGAAAGCGGAACAAATCCATCCAGAACAAAGCAACAGCCCTGGCTGAACACATTGATGCACAGAAGACTGACAGAGATCAGTAGAGGGAATAAAGGAAGGTTGTTTTCTAATTATACTTTCATTCTAAATGAAGAAATGTTGGGGTGACAAACTTCAGGAGAACTGACTCCATCAGCAGAATGAAAGACAACCTCTATGACTAGCTTTCAGATAAGACATCAAGAAGCTGATAGCTCTCCAAGACCCCGAGAAACCACACTTACAAAAATATACACATGAGATTTGTTTCGGAAAGTCTGCATGGGAAAGGCATTTGGCAGATGAGAAGGAATCAGAAGCTCTTCCAAGAAAAGTGTCTCCATGTACTTTAAAGTCACAAATCAAACCAGTCAAGCCTGGAAGCTTCAAATTTACTTTCCTCTTTTGTCCTTCTCATTGCAGGCTGTTGCATTGGATTGCTACAGAGTGGTTTGGTGGGTTACACCATAGAATTTATAGACTGCAGACTTCTGCTGGACACAGCTAAAAATCACTGGGAAGCTTCAGTGACTGGCCTTCTTAAAGTACTTAGTTGAATTGCCAGTGCCTGTAGTACTTAAGATGCCAAAGCTTCCAGAGTCCCAGGAGGAGTTTATACAATGGCATTTATAATGGCAACTGAACATCTTGGGGGCTTGGGAACACCACACACCACTTGCAAAGAAGGCGGCAGTGGGGAGAGCAAGAGGCTGAACAAGCCAGAGGAGCGTACAAAACTCTTCTGATAATACTGGAAATTTTTGGCATGCACAAGCATGCTCAACATTATATTTGTTCTACATATTATATACTTTCATTTAACATGCAATCCATAATTAGAGTAAAACACATTCTCCATATGCAAAAAGTAATAGCTACAGGAAACTTTGCAAAGTCACTAACTCAGGATGCTTTCTGAAAAAGGACCAACTGGTAATATATTACACTACAACAGTGCTGGGGGATGAGAAAGATGGCTTCCAACCAGAGTCTAGAATTTCTCTCTGTTGTGTTAAAATATTATTTAAGATAGTAACACAAGTATGGCACCCAAAAGTCAGGATATTTTAAAATGCAGCTACATTTCCCCTGCGTTGCATGCCAACCCATGGCAAAAAGTACCACTCTGTAAATAAAGAGCTGCCATTTTACCCTCTTCTGAAGCCTTCCTTAAGCCTGTCTCTTTTGCAATATCTATAAAGCAGCCCTGTGCAGCATGGGCTGGGAAACTATAAAATTTGCATTTTCTGCTCCTCCCTGTACATTTCCACTGGTGTTCCACCCTGGCAATCCACTCTCTGCCTCATGCCCTCTGAGGGGTGCCAATTTTCTGTGATTTGCTCTGATTGTACCTAGAGGAATAGAGATCTGATTTTTGGGGCATCCCTAGATGTCATCATAAAAAGGAAAAAAAACAACAACCAAATGCTTATGAACAAAGCATTTGAAAATCTGGTAAATCTTAGCTAAGATTAAGTAAGAAGTTTGATTTCTTAGCACGCCCTGTCCCCAGGATAGCCTTGTACCTGTAGTCCAGACATAGTTCCCCCAAAGCTGTATTAGTACTTTTCTAATATAAACCATGTGTCCTCACAACAGCAGCTTGTTAGTTGCTTTAATAAGAATTACTGACTACATCAGAAGGCTTTTACCTAGAAACCCTCCCAGGAGGAGTCAGCTTCACTAATCTGTTTTGTCTACCATCTGCAAGTCAAATCCTTCTCCCAGATTTGCATTATGTCAGGTAAGGGATAATATCTTCATGTTGCACACTCCATATAGCATCCTCAGGGTGTCCATCACTGTCTAACACTCCACTACGCTCTCCAGGCAGACCACAAGCAATTCTTGTCTTTCTTATTTGTCCCCTGTTTTGATCTGGGTTTGGTACTCATCCAGACACCATGACCACTAGAACCGTATTTTCAATGCCAGTTCCAGCTGAAGGCCAAGAGTGCTTCAGCTAGTTGGTGTTTTGTTTTGGGGTTGGTTGGTTGTTTTTTTTTTTATACAGCTTCTGAAAAACTTCCTGTTCCACAAAGCTCACAATGAGCTGAATGAAAGGCACTTCAACTATTTGGGTAACTGTGATACAGAAGACACAGGCTGAAGTTTGTTTGCAGCATCTACATTCACATTTCCAGAATTTTGAATACTTTCCTACAAGTTATATTTTACAGTTCTTGTATTTTAAAATGTACTATTTCAAATTATTTTTTTTATCTACAATGAACTAAAGACTGCTTTACAAGAAGTAACTGTTTTCATTTGTCCCAGGTTTATTGTCTTGAAGACCAGACATACTTGCACAGTTTTTCATAAATACCTACTACTGCTTCAGAACCTCCATTCAGTGAAGGATCTAGACCTGCACTTCCGAGCAGTTGGGGCACCTCTGAAAACCCACTTCCATCTGACAAACCAGCAACAGACCGTCAGATGTGGGACAAATTTGGATGAGATATAGCATAATGTTCTTGGCTGGGGAGAGCAGTTACCTGCTTCTCAGTCAATGGACAACCTTCAAGATCATCTATTCCAGTTACTACCAATCCACCAGTGACAACTGCTCCCTGACAGATGAACAAAAATGAAGAAAAAAAAACACCAAAAAAATCTCCCTTTCATAATATGTCATCTATAGATATATATTGTAAGTAATTCACATAATACCGAAGTCTTCCTTTGCAGAGGAGCCAGCTGTCCCAGGCAACTCGCTGGACTAGTGAGTTGCTTAGTCACTAGACTAAGAAGACAACAGCTATAGTTCACAGGCTAGCTGCAGCAGTGGATAAGAACAGCGTTTATAAACAAGCCTGTGGGAATAGCATGAAGTTTAATTTCTCTTAGACTTAGAAAATGCACAGTTCATCAGAGGCAAAAGTACTGTAGCAATAGACTCACTCATAAGAGGGCACTAATATGGTAGTCCTTCCTTGTTCTATTTCCAGAAAGAATATTTCTTATCTTTTAGGCTTTTTGTGCTTCCAAAAAGCTTAGGAAGGAGTAAGGCTCAGTCAGATGCTACCTGCCAATTGCTCAAACAGCTTTGCCAGTACACGATAGATCTACACAGCAGGACAAAGGCAGTGCATTTGGACATGTTAGTGCAAAAGATATGGGTGATGGCACCATCCAAGAAAAGAAAGCAGCCAGAAAAATCCTCCAGGAACCTGGAAACAAAGACCCTCTCTTAGTTGGTACCACAGACTAAAGGGCATGCTGCTCTGTCTTCACTTCTGCTGCCACTTGTGCTTTTGCTAGCACAATTTCTACAACACATTGGCACATCCCCCTTTTAACCATACTGCTGTCCCCCAGGGCAACCAGCACTAGGGCTGTGGTCCCCACAGATCTTGCTGCCCACTCTTGTCAGGTAACAACTCCACCTTGTTTTACGCCACCTCCCCCAAGAATAATCAGCTGTATTTCCTTGTTAGGTTTAAGATGTGAATAAACATCTGCAGACAAGAGTCCTACCGAACTCCTTTGTCAAGCCTACATTTGAATATCGGTGCCTGGTGAAGCACTGGTGCACAGGGCTTCCCCAGTGCAGTACTGCAACTGGTGAGGAAAGCCCCTGCAGACTGCGCACAGCCTCCAGGTGAAGCTGCTGCTAGCCCTGTAGGACTTGCTGCTCTGGCATCAATGATGGCAAAGGTAAACCAAGTCAACTTGAGCACACGGTCCTCTTGTCCTCCACCCCTAAGCCATGCCACCTCAACATCTGATTTTGAATCAGTGCTTTCTGATTCACCTGCAGCTTGCAAACACCAAACCCAGCTCCACAGGCCAACAAACACCTCACACTGCAGCAAACCAACTGTTCCCCCAAAGCAGCCTCATGCTGCTCCTTCACAGCAATGAGGAGTGGTCAGGAACCCTGGGGTACCTTCTGTTTTGCTGCAGCTAAGAAATGAATATAGCCAAGGGACAGAGAAAGAAAGGTGAGCACTTGGCTCCACTCCTTGGGCAGCAGGGCAGTACAGATTTGCACAATATTTGTTCAACTGAATAGATGCTGCTCCACCGGTTTCACCAAAAGAAGTATAAGATGACCAGTTATGCCATTTTCTGTTTTCTAGAGCTTACATTTTTCCTATCAGAAAGGCATGGAGAAGGGTACTATACTAACAGAAAGAACAATGTCATGAGTGTCCTGTTCTGTTTTCAATTCCTGGTCCTGGTTTCCTTGTTCCCCCATGATGACAGGAGCTGGAAGTGCACTCAGGCCCTGGATCCAGAGCGGTGGAGGTGGGGGTGAAAGGGGAAGGAGGAAGACAAGAGAAAGAGGAGGACACGTTATGCTCCTGAGCAACTCCTGCTATTAAGTCAACCAACTGTTGGGTCGTGTCTCTGTTGCAGATGACAGGAAGGAGGACAGCAAGTCATCCATCACACATTCCCTCACCTCTCCCCACTCCCCCAAACCCTCACCCTATCCTGAAAGATTTCAGTGTGATATGATTGTAAACAGTAAAGGATTCCTCCAGTGCTAAGCCCACTACAAGCTGGGCCCACCCCCTCCCCCATTATGTACAATACATTCACCAACAACAGAAATTTATTTAAAAAGGCAACAGGTTAAATTCTGTAAACTGGATCCAGCTCCAAAACACACACATTAATACTACAAGTAAAATTCCATCATCATCCTCTTCCACCCTGAAAAATATACCTGAGTTTAGCAGTCAATGAAAGTTTCTGCCCCCACCCCCGCCCTCCCCACCCCAAAAAAATCCCTCAAACCCTGAACAAGACCGCAGTCTCCAGTCACAGAAAGCCACTAGTTTGCAATGCCCGCCCTGCGGTGGCGAGACAGCTGCTCGGCTGGCTGGGACCCAGCACTGCTCCAGGTTTCCAACACAAAAGCCGCCGTGGCACCATGTTCCACGGACCCAGGAAGCTACATGCTGCTTGGGCGAGGGGAGGGTGGGAGGAAGGCCTGCCCCTCCTCCCCCTTGTCCAAATCATGTGTGGCTTTCGTCTTCATGAGGTCCTTCCTTCCTCGGACTAGCTCTGGAAGAGGAAGAACAAGAGTTGAAGGCTTTAACTGGAAGCTTTAGAAAGGCATAACCTTGTGATTGCATGCACCTAGTTCAAAGCTAGCACTATCGGTTTGCCTAGGTTATGTTTTACAGCCAAGTAAGATTACAGAGACATCCCCAACTCTTCTGCATAGAGGTAGTTCACTTCCCAGCTTCCTCCAGTGCTTCCCACTCTCATTAAAGACTTTACTCCTTTAACCAGTGGGAAAAGAAAGACTTGCATTTCAACTCTGCTCTCTCTAGCAGCCCTTACTTGATCCAGAGGCAACGCTGATGGTTTTTGTGATGTCAAATCTTCCCGGGACATGGTTGCTGTAGGCATCTTCGGGAAGGGAACTTGAGCCTGATGCATTTGCATTCTGAAGCCATGTTGAATGGAGAGAGTTTTAACACATGAACATGAAGAGCAAATCCCATCTACTTTGTTGAATGCATACACACAACATTCTCATACAAACATGCATCTTGTACTCTTATTTCTGTCTTCCCCAAAAACCACCAGCTTTAATCCATGCCACTCCTCCAATGGCTTAACTATAAGCCAAGCTCCCTGAACACTAGAAGGAGGACTGTCATACTAGGACTACGACAAAACAGTAACAGTCAAAGCACATTTATAAAATCTGAACAGGCAATGCTTGGAGTAGCAGAATTTTCCACTCAGGAATAAAATGTGGTATGTATAGTAGTCACAGTGAGAAGGAATTTTCTGTTAGGGAAATTTAAGACAGAAAGGAAGGGCAAATCAAGAGGAGGGGAAAAAGGGGGCAACATTAAAGGCGTTCATAACAAGAGGCTAAATCTTGTTATGAACTCTTAAGTCAGCTACTTTGTCACAATATGAGAAAGATGAAATAAAATTCTTGCAGAGAAAATGGGAAGAGTTCATTTGATTAAGAGATGCACAACCCTGGATGACACATTACAAATCATGTTCAGATGAAACAAAGCACTGGTGTGGGGATTGGATGGGACAGGCTAATAGATCAGCATGATAGCAATTGCTATTTGTTCTAAGGAGCTGCAGTGAGACTCTCTCCAACTTAGGTGACTGCTTACTCCAACGGTCTAAGAGTTGCCTTCCAACTTTGCTTGCCATCTCCTCTGACTTCAAGCCATATATATCCTTTCAAGGATATCCAACGCTTATTGCCACCCAGGCATCACCCCCCTCCCACCTTGCCTTCTCGCAGAAAACATGATCTTACCCCGAGGGTCTATACAAGTCCTGGGGTGGCCCCCCCATGCCACCTCCACTGCCTCTCTGCTCCATCAGCAAGGCCTGAAAGTGACCTATGTTCTCCTCTCGGCAGCGGTACAGGGGTCCCTCCTGAGAGAGGCCGTTGGCCTGGCTGGAGGATGGATGATGAGACAGGTGAGCATTCATGGGTGATCCATATGTCCTGGGCTGGAAATGACTGGCAGGATGCCGGGATGCATAAGGAGAGCCAGTCTGTAGCATCACCCCATGGGGAGGGAAAGCCGATGGGCCAAATCCCATCCCCGAACCCAGGTGCGGCGGGGGAGCTCCATAGAGGAACTCCCCCGCTGCCACTGAGCTTTGCCTCTTCGTGGCCGCGTTGTGGTTGTCCAAATCAAGAAACTCTTTGGGACTCTCTGGTCTTTCCTGGGACTCCTCAGGCTTCTCGTCTTCAGGCCCCAGATCCTGGCCGTCCCTTGGAGAAACCTCTTTGGCACTTGCTACGTCCATACGGCTGGGAGAGGCCAGGGCGGCGCTCAGTGCCTCACAGCCCTGCAAGCCACTGGTGGACCCCCGGTCCGGGAAAGGGGGTCTGGCCAGGGGTGGGTGCGTGGTGGGGTGCCCACTGGGGCTGGCCTGGGGGTGGAGAGGCCTCTGCCAGTCTGAGTAGCCCTGTGGACAGGCGTAGTAGGGTGGTCGCTGGTAGTGGTGGTAGGAAGGTTGAGGCTGCGGTTGGTAGGGGTAGGGCATGCCCTGGGGGGGCCGATACCGGGGGAAGACACCAGGATGGGCACTGCTTGGCTGGAAACCCCGCGGGGGAAAATGCTGGGGGTGGGAGGCAGGAGGAGGAGGCTTTGCCCCCATTACAGGGCCGAACCCCTGCAGGCCCGGGTTGATGTGGTACCGCCCAGCCGAATTCGGGTATTCCAGACCAGGCATGTAGAGAGGGTGGAACTGGTTAGGGGCAGCCCCCATAGAACCGGCATCCACACTAGGGAGGCTGGTGCCTTGTCCCATGCAAGGCACAGCTGCTTCAGGCAGAGCCTTCCCCCCACTGCAGAGGGGCTTCTCCAGCAGGTTGGTGGCTAGCCCCTTCCCCTCGGTGCCAGCTGCTGGCCCCTCCCCTGCTGCTCCATTCTCAGGCAGGGGACCCCCTCTCTCGGAGGTGGGCACCAGGTCCCTCACACAGCCTGGGCTGCCAGCATAGCCGCTCTCCACTGGCCATGTGCCTTTGCCCTGCCCTGCCTTCAGGTCACCCTTCACGCTGGAGCCGTCCCCCTCCCCGTCTGGGGGCAAGCTGCGCCTGGTGCACTCCAAGGGCAGTGGGGGCTTGGGATGAGGTAGGAGTTTGGTGTAGGCCCCGTCGGGAATGCCAATGCACTGAGCCTTCTCGTCTATGCCTGTCGATGGCTCCACTGGAAAGAGAGGGGGGAAAAGTCACACATCGGTCTAATTTCAGAAATCAGCCCTCCCTGCTTCACACATACACATCCCTACTCATGCTCACCCAAAGCACATGTCTAAGAGTAATTCCTGCCAGCTTAACCAGGTCTACCAAAGTAGCCTCTCAGCATCCTCTTCTGTTGCTGACCCAAAGTTGCTGGACAGCCCTGCCTGAAAAGTCCCTAACGTCTAGGTGGAGAAAGCATTCCACTTTTGTGCAAATGGAAGATAAAAAAGTGTCACTTTCTAAAGCCATGAAGGTCCTTCCATTGTAAGTAATCCAAAGCCTACAACATCCCATCCCCTAATCAAACCTCTCTACAGGACTGTTGGAGCATGGCACCAAGACAACTGCTCTTCTGCAGGGCTGCAGCCTCAGTCCCACACCCATCATGCAGTCTTCCCTTCAGAGACGTTTAGCAATTCTGAAGTGCATTTTTGCAAAGTTGGGTGCTCTTTACCAGCTTCTTTTAAAAGAGCTCTTTTAAAAACTACTCATGAGGTTGCACCTCTCCTGGAAAGGTGGAACACGTGGATAGAACTCTCAGGATACAGGCACACTGTAGTTTAGAAGTCACACCTCCACTGGAGTAACATTACACTCATGGGTTTGGTCTGAGACATGGGTATGCAAAGGCTGCCTAATGGAGAGGCAGAGTTGGAAAATACAAGAGTGGGACCCACGTGACAGCAAGATGAGAAGCTGGGATAATGGCAGTTTTATTTTAGGCTGTGTTGCCCCTTCTGGTCCGCAGACTCAACTTGCCCACAGCTTGGGCAGAAGTGCTACCACACACCAAGATGCTGCAGAGCCGATTGCAGTCATATTTTAACCAACTGTGATTTGGAGATGCCCTGCAATCACTCAACATCTTCCCCTGGTCTCTGTTCTATATCCAGCACAGTTAAATGATGATGACTTTTAAGCAGTGCCACACAAGGAAAGAGTTTCCTCTTAGTGCAAGGCACATGAGGGATTGATAAAAGAAGCAAGGGTTTTGATCTCTAGTTTACCAGCTAGAATTAATGAAAACAAAAAAAATTTTTTTTGATCTCTGGGGTTTTTTGATCTCTACTTTAGATTTGTTTTATTTTTAAGGGGTTTTTTTTAATCTTTAGTTTGCCAGCTAGAATGAATGAAATTCAACTAGAAGGAAACTTGTGATGACACACACAACACGCTGCCATCCCATCTGAACTGACTCAGCTGGTCAGAAGCTTTTTCCTATTGTGTGAAGAGCTTGAGATGTTGAGAGTTCACAGGGCACATGTGCATTTCAGAGGAGAAGGCATACTTAAAGGAGTATATTTAAAGCATTTATCCACATAACATCATCTTTCCTTGCCTAACTCTTTGCAGATCCAATTTTTATATTAACTCCAAGTGAGCTCTAGAAGCATCACAACCTATGCTTTGCATTTGCACCCCATGGCAAACTGATAACTTGCAGGTATAGCTGGAACAGAGGGGACCTCTGGCAGGCTACAGTGAAACAAAGAAAAATCTTAGAAAAATCTATGTAACGGCTGGAGCAGAAAATATATTCCAGTTTAGAGTAAAAAAGACATTCATAAAAAAAAATCTGTGCCCCACCACTATTTAATCAAGAATTTAATTATTTTTTTCGAAAAAACTCTTCTTTTGTTGCTGAGTTTCTGCCACACTTTAAGACTGACTCTGGTAAGCCTGAAAGTCAGGGTGTATTTTCTGCTTCTCTATCGGCACAAATCCAAATAAAGCCACAGTTTTAGACACAGGTTCTGTGCATCTGCAAGACAGTTAAATTTGTGACCCTCTGAGTTTGGAGCCCAAGAGCAACAACACTAGCCTGGGGGTGCTCCCTTGCCCCCTCACAAGCGCACACTGGCAGGCAGAGGGTCTGCTCTGCCCCAGGAAATGGCAGCACTGTGCGGCAGGCGGGAGGGATGCCTGGCAGCAAGCAAAGGGCAGGTGGGCAGGGGCATGCAGGCAGGGAAGGTCAAATGCTACCAGCAGGTCCTTGAGGGGTTACCTTGGTTGCTCTCTGTCTCCATGGTCTGACTGGTTGGATCCTGCGAGCTCCCGTTCCCCACAATGGGTTTCGGGGGCTGCACACCAGCGGTGGATGCAGCGTGAGCCAGCTGGGGAAAGGGTCCAGGGAGGTGCGGGGGGGGCGGCTGGCGAGGGTGGTAAGGCACACCCGGCGGGCACACGCGGGAGGACAGCTGCTGCATGGCGATCATCTCTGGGCTGTCCATCATGGATTCTCCGCCCTGGCACCCTCTTTGAACCTGAGGTGGTCCCCCAAACAGAGAAGCTGATGGCTGCTGCATCCTCTGGCCAGTAGCTTTCCCGGGTGGTCTGATATACCCTGAGGGAGGCACCCCATGAGGTAGGAAATTTGATTGCTCAGTCCACTGGCTGGGAGGCAGTGGTGGCCTCATGGCCCGGGGGTCCATCATATGGCCCAGGGCGCGGGACTGGAGCGAGGGCCCCGGACCCATGGGTGCCTTCTCCTCCGGCCCCATGGTGCTCTGGCCAGTAGGGCCATGGCTGCCATTCCACAGTGCCGGGTGTGCACGGTTCAGGTACTTGTAGGGCCGGTACATATGCCCTGGCGGGACCTCCGAGCCCTCCGGCGGCCGCATGGGTGGCCCGTTATGCCTTGGGGGGAGGAAGCCCTGCTGGAACTGGGCTGGTGGGTAGACGGCATCGGGTGGGGGGCCACTCATGCGCCCCAGCTGCAGGGCGCCAGGCCGGTGGCCAAGGCTGGCGATGTGGGTTGGTCCTGCACATGCCTGTTTCTCCGGGACGGCCAGCCTGTGCCCGCGGTGCTCGCTCAGTCCCACGCCCGGCTGGGGAGGAGGGAGAGAAAGACATGGTGGGTCTCAATGAGAGCCATTACGCCACGAGGAGCAGAGGGGGCCTTAATGTTCCAGGGTGCTGGATCCCTTGGCTGCAGCACTTCTTACCTGCATGGCAAAGTGCTGGTGCTGCTGGACCGGGTCTCCGGGATGGGGCTCAGGCACTCGCGGCGAGCCGTATAGCTTCGTGGGATCGGATCCACGCAGGGGACCAAATGCTCCTGGCACAGCTGGTCTCTGTGGGACGGGGATGGGTGCGGGAGGGAGACATAAACCAATTTGTGAAGTGCAGAAAAGCAGCAGAGCTGCTGCAGGCGAGAAGCAGCCAAGGCTGAAGGAACGACACAGATGAGCAGATGGGCTTTTTCGAGATACCATGAAAAACCTGTAGCCTCTTTCCTATGAGGTGACACACCTCCCCTGCCAAAGCCACTCTCTCACACCCCAGCCATGCATCCCTGAGCTCAAGGTTGTGATACACTCACTTGCCACCTGAATGCCTGGGAGCATGCGAGAGGACTGGGGGGAGCAGTGGTTCGCTCCAAAGAGAGGAGCAGACAAGAGGATGCAAGGAGGACAACGGGTGAACATGCTAGATTTATTTCAAAATACTTATTGCCTCCAGCTCTCCTACTGCCTCCCAGTATCAGCATTACAAGAATTGCTCTAAAAGTTTTGTTTGATCTGTAGCTAAAAGGGTGAGGGACAGCCTGGATCTCAGAGGAGCACCAGATACACCACACCACAAGACATCACTGGTTAAAATGGAAAAGGCAGTGAAGAATGAGTGATGAAGAGCCCTGAGGAGAGGCAGGACAGGTGGCATTCAGAGAAGAAATGTTTGGCTAAAGGGAGGTCACTGCTGCAGTCCAGGGTGGCCTGTTGTTTGATTTTGTTCACTGCTTTTATAAATACCCAAGGCACAAAATGCAGTAGTACACACAGATGGCACAAAGTTACTAGGCATCTGTAAACAACTGATACAAAAGCAGAGCAGCTTGTTCAGCATCATAAACTGGAGGCTGAGAGAGGAAATGTAACCACTTTCCTTGCATAACAGGGTAACTCTCCAAGGAGAGAAGAGAATTGAGAGAGTCAGGGCTGGCACAAGCCCACACAGGGACATACCAGCCTTGGGACATGTTAGGAGACTGTTCCCAGCTAGTGTCACAAAGACTGAAACTGTACCAGTTTAAATCTAAGGACTGAAAAGTTTCAGTTGCAGAAACCATAGCCCTGAACCTTATAATCTCTGGGAATGGGTTCTTGCCATGCACTAGGAATTTCACAACAGAGCGCTTCATTTCCCTTTACCTCCCTCCCTCCGTGGGCCTGATGGGTGAAGAACAGCAGAAATTGCTCCTTACCATCTGGCCGGGATGTGGCACAGGGCTGGGCATGCCACCATACTGCAGAGAGCGAGGGAAACCTCGCCCATTGGAAGGGCCCACTTCTCGAGAAGGCTGCATTGCGTTGCCACTTGGATCCTCTGCAGAGGATGAGGAGAAGGAGGAAGAAGAGGAAGAGGAGGAAGAAGCAGGAGCCCTGGAAGTAGCTCGATATGGTGGAGGTTTTCCTCCATTTTCCAGGCGTTGCTGCCTTTTGCCTGGTCCATCTGGGTCTCGTGACCGAGTCCAAACAGTGCCTGTGCTGGACCGGCCAGTCCGCCGACTCCTCTTCTCTCGTCTCCCATCTTCTCTGATCCAAAACTCTTCATCTGTGTCTCCATCTTCCCCAGGGAAGTGCTTCATCATTGCTCGGTGGAAACACCTCTCTAAGTTGTAAGCCATCTTGGTATATTCTGCAGTCAAAAAACCCCAACAACATCGGGGACACAGTCTTACAGTGAGAAACAATTAAGCAACATCAGAATTTCCCCATGAGATAAATCATCTCCCTTCCACAAAGTTTCTTTGAGGAAGACTTTTGTTTCTAACTAGTCAACTTTGCTTTATGTTCAAGCAATGCAGCATCAGATTTATTCAGTAACCCCATAAGAGGACAGGCACATAGGCATGACAAAGTACCATTAGTGGCACAGCCTGCAGAGTCAGCATTAATTCAGCGTTCCAGCATAGCGCCAAGAATTACATTATGAGAAGCACCACCTCTGCTTGCAGAGATGTGTGACCTGCACAGTTAACCAGCAGAGAGTGCTGAGAGAAGAAATGCGAACTTCCAACAATGCTATTTGATTACATTCAGAGACTTTTCTTGGACTTGTTCAAATCTCTGCTGTATGCTACAAGACAGAGGAAAATCAGCAAATATATTTATCCATGTACAGTTTCTAAAGCACTTGCTAACCCTGAAATGAAAGCTATTGCTAACACCAGTGTGTCATTTCCACAGGACAGTTCCGCTCAGAGGGGTTCCTACTTTTCATTGGAGTGGATAGGAAGGGAAAGACATGTGAGAAGTGTTAATGACAAGAGCTTGAAGCAAATGACTTTCCAGTTGTTTCCACTAAACCAACCCTGAAGTTTCTCAGGAAACAGCTCTCCCAGTGGCAGAGCACAAATACTTTTAACTTGCAGCCCAACAAGCTGGGTAGCTCTATTTTCCCTTTCAAGGTGGTGCTGGTGCAGTGATGACCCAGCACACGGGAACAGATTTCTTACCTAAGCAACATGTAGAACTTTACTTGGCATGGCAATTAAACCCAGTTTCCCATTTGTAGACTCATGTTTATTCAATGGCCAAGAAACCTAAAAACTACATTTTCGATCCAGAGGACTACAAGCCTAGTTCATATCTCACTTTTCTGTGATACCCAAACAGTGTGAGCTAACCAGACTCCAATGCTTTTCAAAGTCTGTGTTAGAAATTATTAAAAAAAAAAAAAAAAGAGGTCACATGGAAACACACAAGCACATAACCAAATGAGCTCAGAAAGAAAGACTTTCTTTTTTTTATGTTCTGCCTTCACCACCTACCAACATGATAGTCCCTTAGTATGTCATGCCCAAACTCAACACGACCAAATTGTTCTAAAAACCTTGCTAAAACCCCATGCCTTATTACTCAGGAGCTTCTACTCTTTCACCTGGCCTACCAAAAATACCCTGAAAGAAAAGAAGCACAAATCAAGTACTGGTGAGTAGGAAGAGATCATTGCTTGCTTTGACTGAGCACTGCAAATAGAAGAATTTAGCATCTCACTGCTCTTACCACTGCCTTCACCATTGTACTTAAGACAGTTCCTGAACATGGTCTTCATATCGCCCACAAACTCTTCCTTGGTGCAGTACTGACCTCCATTCAACTTCTTCTCCATGCTAGAGATGTCCATGGGTGCCTGAAATGCAAAAAAACTTCCCTTTAATTACAGTAAGCTTACCAAGTTGCATAGCTAGCTTCCTCACAGATTGGGGGTGGGGAGTAGAGGCTGCTTTCCTGAGACACAGCCTCTCAATCTCAATTTCCTTGACTTGTAAGGCTGGAAGGGACTACTGGAGTCATGCAGTTTGACTGCAAGGGTAACACAGCCCACAAAACTTCAAAACACTTCCAAAACCTGCATTCCAGTCAACAAAGTGCATCAGTCAAGATGGCTGGACCACTTTCCATACCTTAATAATCTGGTAGTAGTTGGGAGCATACGATTCATCAACAGGTTCCAAGAAGGGCCAAGAATCCTTGTGAGCCTTTACAACATCTAGAACTGTTAGTAACAAAAGAAAGGTGAATGGTTACACATGTATACATCCAGCGGAGGATTTCACTTTAAGAAAGTCATGCAAAGGGGAAAGATGGGGCAGGACTAACCTTTGTACATGGCTGTGAACTCATCATCCAGTTCAAAGCTGTAACAAAAAGTGCAATAGTGAATGTGCAGACTGAGGACATATAAGACATGCTCTTGTATTTCATCTACCCCTCCATCCCCATGCACAGTGCCATAATACTGACAGATAGGCCTCATCACAAACACCCCTCTAGCCTGGACCAAATTCAGATGTTTCTCAGCTTACTGCTTGCTGTTCTCCAACCTCATGACTGCCTCCTCATTCCTGTGAATGATCACACTCCTCTCCTTCCCATATTCACTACTTCAATGCACTTGTGTGCTGCATGCCCAGCTGCATACTCACAGATCCTTGGTCCTTCGCTCTTCCCTGGTAGGGGAACTGGGATCCAAGTGGGAAAGCTCAGGGGGGAGCTCCTTCCCCTGCGCCAGCAGCCAGGCCCGCTCTTCGCGAAGCTTCCTCCTCCTGGCCCGTTCTGCAGCGGGGAGGAGGGAGAGGTGAAAAACCATTCAGCAACAACCTTGTCAACAACATCTTGCAGAGAAAATGAAGACAGCTCCTGCAGCTCTTAAGAACTCCAGTGAAACCTTTTTCTTTCAGTAAAAGCAGCAAAAGCACAGAAGTAGAGGAGGTGAGAATACAGTGCACCATATCAACATGCCTCTTCATTTTCCCTTGACTTTACAATCATTGATTTTGAAGCATTACTGTGATACAGATGCTCCCCTAGCCAGCTTCCAGACAAATTCCTGACCATGGTGTGGTGCAAAGAGAGAAGTTCAGTGCACAGACCTAGGCATAGAATAGCACTATGGAAGGAGCTGGCTTGTTAAGTTACCATCCTTCAGATGCTTCATACCTCAGCCAGGTGAACTCAAGGCATCTGGTTTTGCACTGAAATGGATAAAGAGCAGTGCCAAGGGAAGGGTGAAGTTCTACCAGCTGGGTGTTGATGAGTAACTGGAGTACTTAATATCCTCCACCACCATGGCTAGCTTTGGGAAGATTGCTCATGGCTATCTTCATGGCTAGCCTTCATGGCTATCAGCCAGAGCAAGCAAGCTGCCACACAGGAGGGCCACTGGGACAGCTTTGGTTTAAGAGCTGAGAGACAGGAAGAAGCAATGTTGGTAATATGAGCTGTGGTTTGCAACCAGACAGCTGGCTAACAGATTGCTTCATAATAGAAAGTTTATGGGCTCTTATGAACCTCATTTCCTTTTTCTTATAGGAAATCTGAATTCATTTGACTTGCTAAACACCTGTGGTTGTACTAACTTTCTGTAGGAGCAGATTTCTAGGAGTAGGAGAGATGTCATAGGAGTAAGGCCCCAGAAAACATGCCACATCAGGGAACACCCAGAGTGAAAGAAAGATAGGGGACACTTGGCTAATCCGCTCTAGCAGAGGCTCCATCTTTGGAAAATGCCAAAGACTCAAGAAGCACCAGCTCTGGTGGAAGGGTATTAATTTACTGTCTTGCTCTCTCAGTCAAAACCAATCGGGGTTGAGGGCACAAGAAAAGCTGGAATAGCTAGAAGGTGGGTATATCCAAGGAGGTTTGTGGCCAGGCATGTCAAAGGCTGGTAAAAGAAAGTCCAAATTTCCTGTTAGAAGACTCTGGGTAGCACTGAAGTTGGGAGGACAGAACTTGTATCTAAGATGTCCTACAGAATGTAACAGCATCTATTACAACATTTAATGATGATTAAGTCCAACATTAAATTGCAGTTAACAGAGATGATCTGAGTCTGTCCAAGCACATCTCAGTACTTCATGTTTATTCCATAAAATTAGCATCACTTAGATGACATTGTAATGGATGTCTAAAGTGAGAAAGCTGAGGAAAACATAAGGCAATGATTTGGGCAGCAAAAGGAAAATCTCAAGGCAACAGCAGCCAAGAGGTAAGGTGATGTAGATTTTAAAAATCCATCAAGGCCTACCAAGGATCTGATCTGGTAAACTGAGGAATCAGGGTGTGCTACCCCGGTACCAGACTGGAGCTCAGTCAGGATTAATGGCAGGTCCCTCTACCACAGCCAGTGATTAATAGAGCATATGAAAGATCACTGGCAGAGCTTGTTGTCATGCTTTTGGCCTGGGTTGAGTCCTACCTAGCAGCTTTCAATGCCCTGAAAAGTACTTCAAACAGCTAGAAAGTTTTATGTGTGAGAGATAATGTTAAGCAGCATCTGAGAAGAGAACTGGGAAACTCTAATCTGCTGTTGTGGTAGAAATCTAGAAAGCTGCTTTAACTCATAAATTCAGGAAAGTACAGATGGGCCCAGCAGGAGGCTTGCTACCTAGGGTGTGCATTGGAGTGGGGGAAGTGAAATCCCAGACCGGAAACAGCAATGTGATCTAAAACCAGGCATACAGTCCAAAAGCAAGAAGCAGGTGAAGTGCTGATGAATTTCGTCAGACAGATATTTCACTCTGTGTTTCATATCACTCCTCTACAGAAGACCTTACAAAATGAATGTCAAATCCCAAACAGACTGAAAAGTACAATAAAATCTTTGTTACCATAAAAATCTCTGTGGACAGATGTCCAGTTGTAACAAGTCTGAACCAGCAAAACACATTACTTCATTTTAAAATCACTTTCTGTTTATCATAAGAACATGAAAGTAAATGCTAATGGAGAGAGCGCTTGACAATAAGGAAAAAATAATTGAGAAGCCAAGCTTTTACCTGGATAGATGAAAAATACTTCATTGATTTAACTGAACAGGTCAGCCATTTAAATAACCTCTCCAAACACCTTTTGCACCAGCTTAAAAGGACACTTCTCCTGATTTAGCCTAAACTGACCAGGGGCAAGTTTAAACCAAACTGAAAGAAAATGCACAAACCAAAATAAATGCATCTCTGACAAGTTATCATGAATGTATGCTAAACTGTCTTAAAACTGTTTACTGCCCAATCCCATGCCAATTTCTTTGAGTAGCTCTGATGCCTTTGCATGAGACAATGTAGTTATTGTATTTACCCAGAAGACATGGCTTATACCAAAACAAGACCTTTCTACAGGCATTTATCTTTGCAGCTCTTCTGGAACTTCAAGATTAATTTTGTCTATACAGATGGAAAGTTGAAGAATATGCAATTTGCCAAGGTGAAACAGGTACCTGTGGCAGATATAGAAGCTGGATGATTTTCCGTTTAAAGTGTCAGATTAGCTAGGATTGGCAACCAGGAATATATGAAGGTCAAGCAAGTAATTGGATTTTCTAAAGGTTAGAGAGGTAAGCAGGTAAAAGAGACTAGTCTTAGACAACATCTGGTCTGCTACCAAACATCTGGTAGCAGACTGTTTAATCTTAAAAAGTTTACAAGGTTTGCATAAGCTTAAATCTTTTTTTTCTTTTCTGATTCTTTATCCACTTAAGGATTCATGATACTGATACTACCGCACATTACCACCACAGTTGTCTGAAGATGTTCAGCTTTTCCCTGGAACTGCAACAGTCCAGGCAGCCACTGCAGCAAAAGCAGCAGAGAAAAGAATCCCCATAAGGGAGGCTGACAGAGAGAAGGTGGTCAAAATAAAGCCTGCTCTTAGACACCAGTGCCTACATGTACTGGCCGAATGCCTGCTGTCTGTACCTCAATCTGATGTATTAAACACAACACGGCTGTTTCTTGCAGAACAGCTTAAATAAACATTTAATTCAAAACCATGAAAAAACAAGACCAACACCTGAAGTTGCTACTTCTGGTGCTCTGTTTAGCCTGGTTCCCTCATCTTTAGCTCTCCAGTTGGTAAGGCTAGTAGCATTATAAAATACTACTCTTGCTACTCCCATGTTGTCCCATGCCCTCTCTCCTCAAAGGAAATCCTTCTTTTGTCATGCATTGGTCCAAAAGGACCAAATGCTATTCAGCAAGAGCAAAGCCAGCTAATCCTGCAAACAGGGAAATCCATAAGAAGGCAAGTGGGGAAACAGGAATTGAGAAACACCATGAATAGCTGGGGAAAAAAACAGCTTGGGTAAAGGAGAAAATAGGCATGATTTGAGGAAGATGACACAGTTAAAGGGTTCACTAGAGAACAGTCACCAACACTGTGGGAGACAAAGGAAAAGAAGCTACAAGTCAGACCAATTTATCCAAGGTAAGTGCAAGAAAAGATATTCCCATTAGCAGGTCTGGAAGAGGAGGAATGCAAATGGCAGATCTTAATTCAAGCCCTCAGTGTTGACTTTGAAAGCTTCCAGCCCTGTTTCACGTTGGCTGCACATACCTTCCACTGCTTTGACCTTCTCCTCCATCTCTCTCTTCCTCTCCTCCTTTAGCAACTGTTCCTGCTCCCTCTTCTGCACTGCTATAAGGATTTGGCGCTCCTCCTCTTCCTCTCTGCGCCTCTGCTTCTCCATTGAACTTAGTACGTTTGGGTTTACCTGTGACAAAATGGTGCACCAAAAACTGTAATGCATTGGCTTATTGAGATCTGAGCAGAGGCAGGTTTACTTTGAGCAAGTATTAAAGCATACCTACAATGAATGGCTGGGGGAAAAAAACAGGAAAGAAAAAAGGATTTGTACATATGAATTCTTGGATGAAAAGAAACACGTAAAGAAAAGTTATTTGTCAAGCAATGAAATCCTACTAAGACAGGGACAAAGGAAGAAGAAGCAATGGGTTAGACAAGCTGCCACTCTGCCAGGGATACACTATGTGTATTTCCCTTCCAGGCGAAGGATTCGGGCTGTTGACAACACCCACACAACAACTCTACCTCTTCCAGTTAGCAGAGTCCAGAGCTGCAAGCACGAGTAGAAAGGACTACTCTGCTGAACCTGGCTCTGCTATAAAACACAGAGTACTTAGGATAGGAAAAGAGACCGGTACAGCCTTGCATCAAGGTATCGTTTGGAGTGTTTTCTTTTCCTGTTCAAAATAAGGCCTGCCATATTTCTGTGTGTTTACCTCCCCTGAACCAGCCCTTGCTTCTTTGTTTGGACAGTTTTCCTGCTGGGTCCCCCAGCCAGTTTTCTCATTCAAGGACGCCTGGCTCTTTATTGCCCCACTTCCCCACCTCTCCACTGCTAGCAGGCTGCAAGGCTGTGTTTGATCCCACTTAGACTGCAGGCTTCCCAGACCAGGAGATCGCCTGCTCCTGTTTCTCCAATAAAGTACGAGGTATATATATGGCAGTGTGGAATTACCTTTATTAGTTTGATTTAATGATAAGGCAAATTAATTGGTCATCAACCAGCCACTCCCACCTCTGACTTCTGCAAGAGCAATATATGTGTGCCTTATCGGTAGGGAATATCAACTGCAAAAGAACAATGTGCATATAGTTTTCTTCACCTTCATTTTCAGGGAATAACCAGCAACTACCACTTAGGCAGAAGGCATTTCCTGAAGATTAGCAATCAGCTGGGGTCCCTCGGCTGCTGCTCAGACCATCAACATCTCCAGGCCCATTATTAATCTCCAGAAAAAAATCTGGCACCATGATTACTATTTCATCCTTGTTTCATTGCCTAGAAGTGGAACCTCAGGGTGTTTTGATAAACACCTAGAAATGTTGTCTGGCTTCACTGCACATTCATTCCCCCTCTGTCTCCCCCTCCCTACACAGCACTGCCCTAAAATCTCCCCCTGAGATTTTACTCTCTGTAGACAAGCATTGTGTATTATCTCCCTGTCTCCAGCAGCAACAATAAATTAAGAGAATTACACTTCAACCACCAACAGCCAGAAAAAGTGTCTAAGAGAGGGTGATGGTACTCTTGACAACATTAGGACTATATCCTACATCTAGGGACAAACTGGACAGCAAAACCACCTATTCTGTACTGATCTTTTTAGGTGAAGTCCACAGCACAATTTCATCACAAGGAAACTCTGCCCATCTTCTTTTCAGATCTTTGCCAAGCATTAGTAATACACTCTTCTAGAGCCTTCCTAAGGAAAACATTCTGTGAGTCCACAAGTGTTTAGCTTAGCCAGCTTCTCACTTTCAGTCTAAAGTTCATTTCTCATCGCCTCATTACATCCAGTTATTCCTAGTTACAGTCTTCTGGTCAAGCATAAATTCTTCAGCCACACTTTAGCCTTTACTGCCTTTCTCAGGCACTTACACAAAACTCCCGTGTTGTCTCTCTCAGACCTTTCCTCCAACTGATCAATATCTGAACACCAAGATGCCCAGAACAAACTGCTATGCCAAGTATGAGGGGTCAAGAACATACAGAACTGGGTTCTGCATTTCCACTTTTGATTCTTTTCAGATCCCTTTCCCATTTGCTCCACCATCCAATTTTCTACTCATACATTGCAAACAACTTCCTTTCAGGCCCGATCCTGTCCATTCTCATACAGTTTTCCCCTTGATCAATCTTTAAATTGCAGTAGGAACCAAAAATGTCAGGCTCTACAGCAATCAGGAGAGAAAGAGGTGAGCAGGAATCAGCCACCAGCAGTTGGTACACCAAGATATTTTATTAAGGATGTATCATCAGCTTTTAGATTCTCCAGCCAGTCACTAAGTTCACTATGCCAGTTTGCTGTGCCCAACAAGTTTCTTCAACTGTTGGTGCACAGGTCAGACCTTCCCTTTCCCATGCTGCTTCCACCATTCACATCCTGTGGAAACATGAACACAACATCCAAGCCACCATGCTTGCACCAGGACCTCTCCAAGCCTGCAGGGTGCATTCAGCACTCTAACGGTGTGACACAGAATCCATAGCATGTTCCAGATCAACCCATCACAAATACAGCATTGAAAAAGCAACAGCACAATTTTAAGCAAAGGAGAGTATGTCATCCTAGCAGATCTAGGAAAAGAAGAAAAGGGAAAAGCAGAAACCACAAATGCAGTGTAGTGAGCACCAAGGACTGAAGTAGACACCTACTACTGCACTTGCTCCCTGTAGCACTTGCAGGGCAGCAGCAGTGCTGGCATAGGTTCTTTGATACACTTCAGATGCAGAAATAGCCTGATTTTCAGATGGACCTACTGCCTCATGTCACATTTAAGCCTATTGGGAAAGAGTGTGCTCAACTCAGGGTTAAAAAAACTAAGCAAACATGAACAAGTAAACTCCTACTAGATGTGATGGAAGCAGATGCCTATTGGAACAATAAAAACAAGAACCCAACACAAGTTAAACTTTAATCCTGACTGAAGATGTGGCAAAGGGACATTTCTCCAGCTTCCTCCCTGCTTGGAGGATAAAAAACAAGCCTTGCATGTGTGACCACGGCATCACCACCTCCTTCCCTCCGCCAGAGAGCACTCCAGGACACAACATTGCTGCCATCCCCCTTCTCCAGGACCCTGAAAGGGCCAAACGTCTGTCTTTTGCTTTGCTCTCCACACAGTGGGTAAGAGACTTCAGGAGCAGAAGGCCAGGAGGTGTGGGTGCCTCAGGCGCCCTGAACCCCGCCAGCCATGCGCCCTGGCCTCTTGTCCTCCAAACCTTCCCTGCTCCAGTTTCCGTAGCGCTTCCCTAATGAGGGTGCTGCTCAGGCAGTGTTTTAATGAGGAGCTAATCTGAACCACCTGTTGAGAAATCCCCCGCAGGATTAGGAGCCCACAGAGCAGTTCTATCTCAGACCAAATTGGCATCCAGCTTGTCGGGAGGAAGGGGTCACCCCTGTACTGGGGTTTTCTCCCCCAGACTCACCTGCTGCCCACCCCTCCCTCGGCAGACAAGCCATCAGACATGCTGGCACCTTCCCCAGCTCCCCTGTGGCAGGGATGATGGTCACGTCCTGCTGGGGGAGCCGGCGCAAGAGTTGCCACCCTTGTGCTGGCTGGCTCCTTGTGCCCTGGCGCAGCGGGTGCTGGGAGCGCCCCCCGCTTGCTAGAAACGTTTCACTGGCCTACAGGCAGCAATTAACAGCCCTCTGCCGCCGCAGACCTGGAGCACCTGCGGTACTGATTAGCATCATTCAGGCTCCATGTGCTTCCCGCTCCCCTCCTCCTCTGGGATTTCTGCTGCCTGTGAACAAGCACGTGTCACCGCGCTTCCTGCATGGTGGGCTTTGCAGAGAGTGATTCTGGCCCCAAACTGACCATCACTGGGGTCTTTTCCTCTCAGCAGGTTTTTATTTGCAGCATGATGAGAGGTTCTTCCGTCCTTTTATTTATCTGTTCTAAATAATTATATTTACTGTGGGGAACTGTATTTTCTCCTTTGTTTTGTGGGAACTGCTGACCCTGGCTCACATAGAATAATCCCTGCAGTTTAATTTCCCAGGCTTTGACAAAACACCAGATAACTACATTTTCATTCCATCTACAGTGAGAGATTATGCCACAGCCTGACAGAATTAAGCCAATTTTTCCCTCCAAAGCTAATCCCATGTTGCCTGACTGATTGGCTTTGGGTAGCAGTTGCCAGTTCAAAGACTTCCCATCTCCACCACACAATGCCCCTGGCTGTGCCAGCATGCAGCTGAGGGCTGCATGGTGAACTGGATTGGGAAGCTGATCTGTTAAAAATAACCCTGACCAAAGAAAAAGGTTGTATTTAACTCCAGTCATTTTCCTGGGCCTGGCTCACTGCACAGACCTGCAAGCAGCAGTGCTGTTGCACTGATGGGGTGGAGAGGAGACGAGGGTGAAGAGGCACGGAAAGAGCTGTTTCAGACGACAAGGCTGCAGTTTGATAAGCATTTCTTTAAGAAGCCTAAACTGCGACTTCCATTTCCAGCTGACACCCTCCTAGCTCAGCTCCATACTACATCAGTCATTCTTCTCTTCCTCCACACTATCTACACCCTCATGTGTTTGCAGCCTCACGTTTTCCCCTTGGCTGAATTTCTGTCATTTCCCTTTGTAAGCTGGTTCTTCTAGCCCTCTCATCCTTCTTCAACTTTTCTTTGAACTGCCTCGAATGTGCCAGCACTTTCATTGAAGTGGAATTCCCCAGACTGAGCACAGATTTCCATATGCAGCTGCACCGGAGTCTGCGGCAAGGCCAGTTACCTCTGCGATCCAGAGGGCAGCACCTCCCTGCTCGCCATAGAAACCCTGAGTGTCAGCCTGCCTTTGACAGGCATTACCACCCATCTCTCTTTCAGCACAAGCACTTTCAAATGACTCCTTCCCACTGAATAGCGATGCTGCGGTTTATTTTTTCCCCCAGGAGGCATCTGCTCTTGCCTCCCTCCGTTGTCCTCCCCCTCGCACCCCCCCTCACCTCCTGCTTGATTGGTTTGATGGGCTGATGGTCAGACATCCACCTGGGAGAAAACTCTGTCCGCTGCAGACGCTTCTCCTGAAACAGGGTTGAGAATTGAGGGAAGGAAAAAGAGAGTGGAGGAAATTAGGGCACATTGGTGATACTGGGAGGAGAAACTCTGGGGGCTAGAAGTGATCATGAAATCCCTATTAGCTTTACAAGGGTAGAAAACAAGCAAACTGAACTCAATCCAAGAACATCATACTGACTGCAGAACCCATTTTACAAGTAGCTGAAGGATCCCATTCCAAATCTGTCTCATCTGAAAACATTCAGTTGATGGACAATACCCTTCGGAGTTTCGGGGCTCTGACATACCAGTTCAAGCAGACTTAGCTAGGACAGCTAAAGCAGCCACTGCCCCTTCAGCAGAGCCAGCTGAGAAACAGCAGTAAAAGCAGAATCACAGGCAGTTTGCATAGAAAAGCTAGGCTATAAATCGCAGCAGTTCAAAAGCAGACAGAGATTCCTTGCTAGCAGGAAAGGGACACAGAACATGGCTGAAGACAGTAACCCCTTCAGCCATCCTACCTACACTGCCGTGCAATCATGAACCAGATCCTTAAGTATCAACTCTAGCCCTGCCACTCCATGGGGGAGAGCGTCTCTCCCCATACACAAACTGAACAGCCCCCACATCCATGACACTTGCAGGCTGGAGGCGGGGGGGGGAGCAGGACGGAGTGACAGCTGCTTGGATTTAGCTCTCCTTCAATCAGCTAACATCCAAGCTCTTAGAAGCGGTCAGAGAGAGGTAAACAGGATGTCATGACTCCTCACCTTCTGTGCAATCATGTTGCAGATCTCCGGCAGGAAGTCTTCACTCAAGAGTTTGTAGAGCTGCCGCTCTCTAAGGGAAGTCCTCTCTCTGAAGCTCTCTGTGACCTGCCTCCACTCCTCTTCCGTCTGACACAGCAGCCACCATGTCCCACGGCCAGGCCCTTGGGACCCTTCAACAACATGAAAGGATGTTATCTCCACAGCAGTTATGACTAAAAACTTTTCTTCATCCCTTCTCCTCTCCTCAGGGCTCAGGAAGAGCGAAGGTATGGCCAATGGCCACTGTTAAGAGAAACATACTCTTCGCTATAGACCCAAAGCTCTCTTGATCCACCAGAAGTGCTGCTACCTTCTCTAGCGACACTGAAAGTGATGCCAAGACACAGAGGAAGTATACAGGTGAAGAAGTAATGGTAGCCCTTTGCAACACATGGGTAATGTGACATCCCTATAGCCAGCCAGTTATGATGAACCAGAGAAAATGATCTAAATTGTTTCTTGTAATGGAGGCTGTCGGCCAGAGTAATGCAGAAGTATGACTTAGTCTGGCAGCAGAATAAAACCACTGAAATTTAATGTATTTGAAACAAGGCGCGCTTTTTTTTTTTTTTTTTTGCACTGCAAACCTTTGCTGCAGTGAATAAAACCTCCCATTCTCCCCAAATGAAACATTTTGTTTGCAGGCACTTGAAAGAACAGAAGAGGAAGTGAAGGATGGGCTTCATCGGGCTGCCAGATGAGGGGGAAGTTCCAAAAGTTCATATCCCATCCCTGCTCAATCCAGAGTGGGATCTGAAGCAGATCTCCCACCGCTCTGAGGCATTTCCCAACTACCAAGACACTCCGAGCTGTTCTGCCTTGCGTGAAACATTTGAATATTAATTGCAAAGGAAGGACTCTCTCACGTGGTGGTTGGAACACCCACTTGGAGAGGGAAAATGTGGTTCCTGCTTCACAAATGTTTACACAGAGCAGAGAAGCCTCATGGGTTGCATCTTGCATGCTTTTGCCCCAGGATGCTCTCTAAGCAAAAAATGTTGTGGCTTATTTTTGGGGAGGGGGAAGACATTAGTTCAAACCCCTTCAGGCTGAGGGGTTCTCAGGTCCCTCTAGACTTTTCTAGAGCTAAACCACAGGCTACTGTAAAGAAAGCAATGGTCACCACCCCCACTGGCAGATGTCACACAGCTTCTCAGAGCATTTTCAAGCAAATTAACTATGGAAAATTTAAAGAAGAAAAAAAAAAAAAAAAGAGCTGACCCTGGGTCCTTTTGTGGATTTAAGCTGCCAGCGGCTCTGGCACACAAGCTATCAGGTTGCCCCAGGAAGACTGAAAAGTTGCAGCCTCCTTTCAGCCACCTGCTCTCTTGTCAGAAACCTCCATGCTGCAGCAGTGGCACAGAGCAAGAGTGTGCTAGCTCCAGGTCACAGGCCAGCCTACAGCTTAACCCACCCTTGGCTTCAGCTCCAGTGAACGCACTGGGGACTGGCAACTGAGATGGTGAAAGACCAACCACGTGCTGGTTTCTGTTGCCCTGGTTATGTGAAGTTGTCCCCTGCCCACCTGCAGTGGGGAGCTTACCTGCATGCTGCCCCCAGAGCCTGCACCCCTGTTTCCCCTTCCCTTGCCAGCTGCCTATGGGTGACTCATTTCAATAGCAACCAGGACTAAGGCACGGCTTTGTGCCACCAAAAGATTACTCTGCAGCTGAAGTGACACAATTTGCTGGAAGACAATGATCTGATATGACCCTCAGTGCCTCATGTGCATTGCTTCAGCTCTGCTGCCCAGCTCTGGAGCAGCCACCAGGAAATCTGAAGACAAAGGGCAAAGGGAAGGAGGCATGGGAAAGATAATGCCACCCTTGCCGTTTACTATGGGGCAACAGGCAGGCTGAGCCCATGGGTTATGTGGAAGCCAATGGATCCACATGTATGACAAATGAGTCCCAGCCCCCTTGAACTCACTTTCACGTTATGTTGCCAACTTGCTTTTTCTGCTTGCCTCGTTAACCCTTAGGTGAGCATCCCCAAGATATCATTTACCGAGCTCAGCCACCTAATGGACACCAGGAAAGAGAGGCGAGCAGAATCAAAATGGTTCTTCCTTCCCTATCTTGGCATCACTGACCCCACTCTCTTCCTAGTCCGAAAAAATGCACCCACTACAGACAGGGGACTGTGGTCATGTCATTCCCTGAGGAGTAAGGGCCATTCACAGCCCACTTCCATCAACTTTAGTAAGTAGGTGGGCCCCCAAGACCTAGAGTAACCCAGTATCTTAGATTTCTTCTCTCAAACTAATCCATGATAAGATAGGAAGCCTGCAGGTGTTCAGGCTCCCAGCTGAAAGGCAGCCTGTAACGCCGACCCCTCCTTCCCAACTCTGGCCCCAACCACCAGCAGAAAGAGTCTCTCCTGAGAAAGGCATCTCGCTGGGCTTTGATAATTTAAGAGCCATGTTAGCTGATTATATCAAACCTGACCCCACAAAATCTCTTTACCATTTCTTATCTGAGTCTCGCGGATTAGCAAGTTTTCTTCTGCCTTCTCCCTACCAAAAAAGAAAGAGAAGGAGTGATACAATAAATACATTACCTCACATCACTGAAATGCAGCCGCTTCTGAGAAGAATGGGGGAAGCAGCAATTGTTCAATGCACAGCAGAACCATGAAAAAAACACTGTGCAGAAAACACATTTGATAGATATTTTCACATAGATATTTATCATTAGCTTCATAAAATTTTGATAAGTGAAGGGTGCAGTCTGGAGTTTCACAAGGACAGTATTTCAATTCTTATAGGAAGCATCCCAAAATCTACTGACTCAAGTGGCCAGGATTTTTTGACTTCAACTGCTACAGAGTGAACGTGCCCTTTATCAGGAGTGTATCTATCCCCTAGCACTGCATGGAGGACAGGCATTCAAAGTGAGGTGGTTGGAAGAGTGGTATCTACTGTTTCACCAAGTTTGGCTTCCAGCTCAGTCAGAATGTTCTTTGGAGAGTGATCAAAGCATCTACCAAGTCTGAGCTTGCTTCACTTCAGAGATGCATTGAAATTATGGCTGCATGGTATATACATACTTATTGGGGGAACCCCAGAAGTACATCATACTTCCCCCTGGAAACATAGGCATTTTACATCTATTGCAGGAACACCCTTTCCATACCTCAGCAGATTTTCCTCCAATAGTTTTTTCCGCTTTGGGGGTCGCCCTCGTCTCTTGCCTGTTTTCCCAGGAGCGTTTGGGGTGTTTGTCTGCCCCCCGCATCCCCTGTGAAAAAGCAAAACCACCATGAAGTATCCGCTGAGCAAGGGAACTGCGGCTGGCAGGATGGGAGAAGAGCAGGGAAATCGGAACAGCTGCTAGGAACCCAACCAAAGGAGGGATTAAAACAGCAGCAATGGGATGGAGAGGGGAGGAGAGGAGGGATTCCCACTGGCTGGGAGCCTGATCTGGGAGCCGCCGGCACGATGCAGGGCAGACGGGGAGGAATGTGGTGGGGCAGGCAGCATCGCTCCCACAGCAGGCTCTCCTGGTGCCACAAAGGCTGCAGGCTGGCTCCGACACAATGTGCAACACGGGGCAGCTCGCAGTCTGCTTGGCAACTCCAGTCTCACCCTGCACCGCCCCAGCCCTCTCCCAGGCTCCCCCCGCGCTGCCGCATGCTCCCCCCTGCTGCCCCCCGACACAACAGCAGTCAGGCGGAGTCCCCTCCAGCCAGGCTGGCTGTGCTGTCCCCCGCCTCGCCCCCTGCACCCAGACACGAGGAGGGGGGATGTATGGGGCTGTTACCTGTCTGAAGCCAGCTCTCCGTTGGTTTTCCCCTGCACTGGGTCCTCCTTGTACATCCGTGTGCCATAGAAGTACCAGTACAGGGCACCGCTGCTGTCCTCACCCAGCGGCTCCACGCGGAGGCTGTCTGCATCCAAGCCCTGCGCCCACCGGGAGCCCCCCGCCAGACGGTGACAAGTTGAAAAGCGGCCACATTGTCACACAAAACATGATGACACCCCTCTGCAAACACCTCCCTCCCTCTCTCCTCCCCTCCCACCATGCCACAGCAGCAGTACAGCTGCTCCTCCGATCAAGCTGGGAAAATGTTACTCCAGGGGGAAGGCGACATTCGCTCTCTGTCCAGGGAGGGATTTAGATTGGCATCTCTAATTTGAATGGCCTCTCTCGTTTTAACATTTCATCTCTGGTGCTCCTGACAGGGAAGGTCTAATTAGTGCTGGCGACAGTCACGCACAGCCCTGAGAAGCTCCCTTCCCCCTTCCCACCAACACCCTTCCCCCCCAGCTTCCCCAATACACTTCAGCCCCATCCTTTCATCTCACACCATCCTTCAGCAAGGCAGTCTCAGCTCTCACAGCCCTGCCATTACTGTTGGAGCATCTCCAAATTAATTCTTTGCAGGAAGAGTAGCCAATGAAGCAAATTTACTTAGCAACTCTCGTGCTATGAATACATCTGCGCAGGACAAGAGCCCCATGAGACGTTCTGAGCACTTGCCTTGGGTCCTCTGCAAGGCAGGGGAGGAGATGGGGATCTGCCAACCCACTGCACCACCACTGATTACCTGGCCTTAAAACACACTTAATAGCATCAACCCTTCTCTTCCCAGGAAGATTCACAGATCTGGCCCAGCTCCTGCAGCCACACCATTTCCCCCTTCCCTGCTGCCCAAAGCACCTTAAGGAGGTCGAAGACATCATCTGCATCGAGGCGGTAGTCACAGAGGCGGTGCAGGATCTCCACCCGGGTGCGCAGGGGTAGCTCCTGGAAGGTGGACTCCCGCAAGGGGTTGGGTTTCCCTTCCTCCAGCTCCCAGCGGTAGTTGATGATGTCCTCCAGGTAGCTGTGAAATGTCTGGGATCTAACCAAGGAAACAAAGTCCCACATGCTCACTGTAGTTCACCATGCCAAAACCACCTGGTGCAATCAAGAAACTAGAACAAACACAAGACAGAGACAGCTAACACTTGAAGGAAAACCATGCCCCATGACAGCTATGGATAGGTGCAGCTCTGTTTACTCAGGTTCCCAAAACACAGCAAGCTCATTGCAACACCATGGGATTTCACATTATACACATACAGCTTACAGGACTCTGCATTACTTTCTACCCAAGTTGAAAGAACAAGCTAAATATGATGCCAACTCAGCCTCATCCCCTTTCTCTCCCAACAGGCAGTGCCTTGTGCTAGCACCAACATCAACCCTTTACTAAAATAGGATGCAAGGAAGCCAACGAGCCTGATCCCCTTCCACTTCTCCCTACTTCATGTGGAGACCCTCTTCAGCTTTCCATTTGCTCCTCACATCTGCCATTGTCAAGCCCTGCTCTTCTCCCTGCTTCTTAAGTATTTTCCATGTCCTGTTTCAGTGCCTTGAAACTTCCCATAGTCGACTGTCTCCTCCCCACTTTGCTGCTGTATGCTTCCCACACTCCTGTTGTGGCCCCTGTTCTCCTCTCCTCCATCCCCAAAGGTGCTGTTCCTTTCTGCCTGTTCCTCCAACCAGTGGCTCTGGCAGGACATCTGCACAGCCCAGTTAATGCATGAAGCTTGGACCCTGCCACACAGCGAACCTCATTCCCAACATGCGTGTACCTCCCAAATAGGGTTCAGCCCAGAGGACTCTCTCCTCTCTAGTCTCCCAGATGATCAAGCTGAACACTCAAGCTCTTCATAAACGCTGCTACTAGAACAATCTTTCTCATTTTCTAGCTGGGCCACATTAAGTCTCCCTTTCATCCCCAGCAGTTCACTGCATAACCCAAGGAAACATGCATTTCTTACCCTCATCTGGAATTGAGGGTAAATGTCCCCATCTGACACCCATTAGACTGTTGATGGAGCTTAAGGCTAAAAGAACTCCGTCTATATTTTAATGAGACTTAAGTCCTTATTCAGACTGATGAAAATTTCAGAGCAGAGAATGAAAAAGGGTTAGTGAGGCTGTGTGTCCTTAAATATAAAACCTTCTTAAGATCTGTCCATTTCACTTGGGAGTCCTGAGACTTGCCAGGCTCTCTCAGCCTGCTTGTGTACCCTGAGCACAGCAAAGGGGGACCCCCCCCATGCCCCAGTCATTCTTGCACTCACAGGAAGTCCATATGCCAGCAAGAACACCACTGGGTACACATTCCCACCAGCTCTCAAAAAGGCAGCTCAACTTGATAGGTTTTTGGCACAAACAGATTACTCTATATGATTAATGGAACCATGCCAGCACTACAGAATTGCATTTGCCTGAGAAATTGCTAACTACTACAAAAGCTATTATTTTTTAACAAAGAGATAGAAGAGCACGATCCAGCTGAAGAAAGATCATTAAAAGTCAACAAGAAGTTAGATATTAGGCGGCTTCATGTGTTTGGTAAAGACTGGATGTCTTTGCAAGGACCATAACTGGACAGTGACTGCAAGAATGAAGGAACAGATGCCACATGATTCCTTAAGCCATGTCCACCTGGCAGTGTTCCCCTTCCTCTTCGAGTGGAGAGAAGTTGATGCTACCACCCTGCAGATCAATCCCCACCAGCCTGCTTCCTTCTGACGTCAAATGCAAGCTGACCTCTCAGAGAGATCGCCTCTCACCGGATGAGTGTTACCATCTCTCTGGCTGTATGTAACAACAGATACTTGCGGGTACCTGGAACTAGTGCCTCCTGCAGCCTGGAGTTTGCTCTCTTGTGCATGACACAAGAAAAGCATCCATATTTCCAAGTTTTGCCACACTATATCAGCTATCAAACAAATGCAACTCGAAACAGTCCTCTACACTGACAAAGTTTACTCAACAAAAGATTGTTTTATGAAATAATTTCGGTGCTGCCTCAAGTACTAATTTTAGTAGATACAGCAACTATCTTTTAGACACAGCAACTACCTTTTCTTAAAATGAAATATGCAGCACACAGTACACCTCCCTGAAGTAGCTGTGCATTCCCACGTGTCACCTCATATACCTCAAGACCCAAGCCAACTTCCAGCAAGGACTTCAACTTGGCAAGAAGTGAGATACTAAATTCTCTTTACAGATTTTTTATCTTTAAGAGTGTTATTTGATCACACAATTTAAATGTTAGATGCTTACTGAAGCCATTGGATAAAAACAAAAAGACAGACAGATATAACTAGCTTTCAGAACAGAAACAGTGATTAAAACATCTTTTCCTGAAAGCAGGAAAGCAACACCTATATTCGGATACTTAGTCCATTGCAGAAGGTGTAAACTCTAAGAGAGCATCCAAGTTTCAGCCCCTCAAGTTCAGTTGTTCAACTCTGTCAGAGCTCAATGCAGGAGATTATTTAATCAGATCTGACAGAAAGGCTCTGGATATTTCCAGTAAGATTGACTGAAAAAAAAGTTTCCATAGGATCCTGAAAAACTAGTGGGTAACATGGGATTCTAGGAAGAAGCAACAAAAGTAACAGGATTTTACCTGATCCGTTTTTCTGGCTAAATGTTTTTCTACCAGGAAAAAAAAAAAAAAAGAAAAGCATGGATCAGACAGATACTTTTACTGCTTGCATGAGTTCACTTATCTTGCTCTACCATTTTGTCTGCTCTCAAAGAAAACTGATCCAGGAAGTCCCTCAATTCCAGAACATCATCTGAAATCTTTGCCTATGTAACCCTCATTTCCCCTGTGGACTGGGTCTGTTGACTTAACCAATTTGGTTTGAGTTTGACTTTCACATAAGTGGCTAACACCAGAAATTTCCGCCATCCACCCAATGTTCGATACATTACAAGCTCTGTTCTCAAGAGTACTTTGAGTTCCTACCCCCATCAATTTTCAAAGACAGCTACTGTGCATTTGTCGCTTTGAATAAGGATAGAAATGAGAACTAGAGATGGGAACCAGATGTCTCAAGGCATTCCCAATCACTCTCAATCTTACCCAATTTATATTTTCCCTTTTCATGGGGGCTAGCCTCTTTTTTCCAGACAAATGTGGGGTGCTCGTCTTCAACCTGTCTGCCACACCTATGGTTAGTCTCACTTAGTCTGTCACTTATTAAATTTCCCTTTGAAAAAGGTTTCTGAAACAGCACCCTTGGTTTGGAGAAGAAAATCTGCAGGGGGCACAGTAGTCTGCGAAAACCCTGCCCTTAGGATTTTTTCCTTGTGCAAAGCATAAATGCACAGGACTAACTGTTTAGCATTATCCATAAAATTCAAAACCAAGAATCAGACAGACAGGGTCCAGGAGTGCAATGACCTGGATGCAGTCTGGCAAATACCCTTTTTTTCAAGCTCACTAATAGCACAGTGAAACACCTGCAGGTATGGCAAGTCCTACAGAGTCTCTGCTACAACCGAGAACCTCTGAAAACCCTTTTGTAGGTGGGAAGGAAGAAAGGAGATCACCAAGCTGAGGACACAGATGTATCTCTTCTCCTGAGGCTCTCAGCATCACTGGGTCTTGTGAAAACACTCAACCAATGGAGGCAATGTTAAGTCAGCAATGTCCTTTCTCTACAGATCGGAGTATTTCCAAGGAGGATCAATTGGTACATGGACACATTCTGTCTCAGGGCACATATCCAAACAAAAATCAACTCTCTCCTGAAAGTAAATTGTGGGTACTAGAAACAATTCATAAAAAAAGTGTCAGACCATGGGCCACAACTGTCAACCTTTCTCAATCACTTCTACCTTCCCCTGCCATACAGCACAAGCATCTTACATACAGCTCATTAACCAAAATATTACAGAAATCACCTACAAGAGGTCAGAAAAGTTACCTTAGAGTGCTCTGTAGCTGTAAAACTTCATCATTCCCACTGTCTTTCTCCCCATCCCAACTTCACTAGCACCATTAATATTTCAGAAAACTGAGACAAGGTTGCCCTCACGTGTCACAATATCCCTTATTTTGCAGTTGCCACTCCATGTGCAAAGCAACTTGGATAGCTGTAGCAGGGAAACGGTGGAATAGTACCCGTGTATCTATGGATACATTTCTAGTGAGCCCAGTGCAATTCATAGCCTTGTCTCTGGCTGTGCTCTGAAACCACAGGGTTGTTGTCAGAGGTCCCTAACTTTTTTTGCAATGATTAGAAAGGAGGTCAAAGCTGAATTGTACCTGTGGTTTAAAGTTTTAATCATAAGTTGTGGACCTCTACATAAAATGAAATCTGAGGCACAGGGAAGGACATGACCTAGCACATCAGTGTTAAAGGGAAGGAATAACAGCAGACAATCCACAAGAGTACCAACCAGTGAGGTTGCAGCTCAAGTTGCCTGTGATCTTAAGTAGCAGCTGCAAGAAAATCATGGCATAAAGAAGATGGGAGCAATTCAAAGGAGGGGCTCCACTCCAACACGGGTATCAACAGTCAGAGAAATGATACACCCCCTGAGAGCTCAGTGCCGCAGCCCGGCCATCTGCTGCCCGGCTGCCTCCCAAAGAGGAAGGTTTCTCGGTGCTCCAGGAGAGGGGAGCTGAGGACTCCTCCCCCTGCCTGGCGATCCCAATCAGCAGTCTGCCTCCGCAGTGGCTTCCCCTGCTCGCAGAAGAGGCATCCTTCCCATCGCCCAGGGTTTTAATGCACAGAGCCACACTGCTGTCAGAAATAGAAGCTCGGCCAGCGAGCCCCCATCCCACTGCTCAGCACTGTGCCCAGTTTCCTGGAGGGGCTCCTTTCAAGACCTCTGGAAGAGATGGTGAAAATTCCACAGGGTTGACGGGATAGATGGAAAAATTTGGCCAGAGCTTCTGGTGAGCATGCTTGGAAGGGGACAGCTGCACCCAGAGACCTCAGCCCCACAGGGACTCTGTTGGGAAAACTCAATGTGAAATGCCTTCTGAGCGAACGCAGCATCACTGGGGCTGGAATTACATGTAGACACACACACTTT